CCCCCCTGTTATCTCACATATAGATTCTTATTATTATAGCCACCCTAACTCCTCCCACAGTTCTTACACTACATAGACAGTAATATACCGAAACGTGCGGATTGTTCCCGATTGGTGCGCTGTTACTTTGTGGAACGTTTCGCCGAACGGTTCACAAAATATCGCCATTTTTGTGGTGAACTTTTCCCATAGGAATGAATGGCAGAATGTTCAAAACTAGAGTGTGAGCTGAAAAATCAGGACATGATTTGTAAACTGCCATCACTCCCTCATTTCCAAGCCCACCTACACATATCTTATATCAAAACGTTCAGCTATCCCTGCTGCCACTAAACGGCTAAGCCATAGTCCTGATAGTTTTCACAATATGACCATTTGTTTGCAGCTCACGCCGCCCATTGATATTCATTGAAGCTCCACTCTAGCCACCTCAAATTTGAAGGGCAAATTCTAAACTGCGACTGTGCCTTCATTTGTAATATTTCAGAGACATACCATACATCAAAATGTAGGTCTGGGTCTTGTGATTCTCACAATATTAAGCTCTTCGGTGTAGGATTTATAATTTTAAAACTACAACCGTTTGAAGATGGCAACCGCCAGTGAAGTGAGCAAGTTGGAGCAGTTTGTTTTTAACCGCTCTTCTCTGCCCTTGCTGTAGAGTGAGTTGCCATAGGAACCCAGGGTGTGATCAGGCAGCAGAGTGACAAAAGCGAGAGTGTGAGCTGAAAAATAAAAGTTGAAATGCATTTCTCACTCTAACAAGCTTGCCATGGGCACTTTTTAAATTTGATCAATTGGTTAGTGTAATGTTCACTATCTTTACTCACTCCAAACACTTCACACAGTTACTCCGCCCACTCCACACAGTTACTCTCCGCCCACTTCATAAAGTTACTCTGCCCAGTCCAACCTTTTCAGTTACTCCAGCCACTCCAACCACACAATAGTTACTCCAGCCACTCCAACCACACAACAGTTACTCCAGCCACTCCAACCACACAACAGTTACTCCGCCCACTCCACCCCAGTTACTCCGCCCACTCCAGTTGTAGACTACTGGTGGAGGCAAGAACACTTCACACAATTTCCCCAGAAATTGTAGCTTTTCTAGTTTAGTATTGTCCTCCAAATTTAATATGGTTTCTGTGGCTTCATTCCACATCTGTCAGAATTTTGCCCAGTAAATACAAATGTAAGTCCTCGCGCACACGGGACGTTTTCAGAAGGCTGGTAATGTTAATGGTGTAAAGTCACGTTAAAAATGTGTGTTTTTCAGCTTTTTTAAGCATTTTTGCATTAACATTTAGCGGAGTTTTGTCACATTTGCATTTTTTTAAAAAATTAAAAAAAAAAAAAAATTTTTTTTTGGTCAAAAAAGTCCAAAAAAAACACCAGATTGCGGCAGTTTACCGCGTTTTACAGCGTTTTGCCACATTTTTTTTTCAGCATTTAGAGCATTTTTACAGCTAAAAATCTTCTCTAGAAACCCACTAGTCCTGGGTTTTTTTTCCAGCCAAAACAAATCGTTGATTCCAGTCCATGTGTGTATGGACACATAGGATAACATGCCGGGGATGGACACATAGGATAACATGCCAGGGATGGACACATAGGATAACATGCCGGGGATGGACACATAGGATAACATGCCGGGGATGGACACATAGGATAACATGCCGGGGGGACACATAGGATAACATGCCGGGGATGGACACATAGGATAACATGCCGGGGATGGACACATAGGATAACAACATGCCGGGGATGGACACATAGGATAACATGCCGGGGATGGACACATAGGATAACATGCCGGGGATGGACACACAGGATAACATGCCGGGGATGGACACATAGGATAACACACCAGGATGGAACATAGGATAACATGCCGGGGATGGACACATAGGAGAACACGCCGGGGATGGACACATAGGATAACACGCCGGGGATGGACACATAGGATAACACGCCGGGGATGGACACATAGGATAACATGCTGCTGGGGATGCACATAGGGGGATGGACACATAGGAGAACATGCCGGGGATGGACACATAGGAAAACATGCCGGGGATGGACACACAGGATAACACGCCGGGGATGGATGGACACATAGGAGAACATGCCGGGGATGGACACATAGGATAACATGCCGGGGATGGACACGTAGGAGAACATGCCGGGGATGGACACATAGGATAACATGCCGGGGATGGACACATAGGATAACATGCCGGGGATGGACACATAGGATAACATGCCGGGGATGGACACATAGGATAACATGCCGGGGATGGACACATAGGAGAACATGCTGGGGATGGACACATAGGATAACATGCCGGGGATGGACACATAGGATAACATGCCGGGGATGGACACATAGGATAACATGCCGGGGATGGACACATAGGATAACATGCCGGGGATGGACACGTAGGATAACATGCCGGGGATGGACACACAGGATAACATGCCGGGGATGGACACATAGGAGAACATGCCGGGGATGGACACATAGGATAACACACCAGGGATGGACACATAGGATAACATGCCGGGGATGGACACATAGGAGAACACGCCGGGGGATGGACACATAGGATAACACGCCGGGGATGGACACATAGGATAACACGCCGGGGATGGACACATAGGATAACATGCTGGGGATGGACACATAGGATAACATGCCGGGGATGGACACATAGGAGAACATGCCGGGGATGGACACATAGGATAAACATGCCGGGGATGGACACATAGGATAAACATGCCGGGGATGGACACATAGGATAACATGCCAGGGATGGACACATAGGATAACACGCCGGGGATGGACACGTAGGATAACATGCTGGGGGGGTTTACTGGCTGTAGAAAAAAATGTCAAATGCCAAAAACATCCGCTGTAAAAACATCCCGTGTGCAGGAGGACTAAAGCTGAACTCCAAGTACCAAAAACTCATTTAAATCTATTCCTGGCCATACAAGATGTAAATCTACTCTGAGCGCACCCAATGCCTTCGCACACCAAGATTCAAATACAAATTGCATGGCTCCTGTGGACAATGGGGCTATTTACTAAAACTGGAGAGTGCAAAATCTGCTGCAGCTCTGCATAGTAACCAATCAGCTTCCAGGTTTTAGGGCTCATTTACACTGCAGCTGATAAACTCACGTTTAGGAACTTTTCTGCTTTTTTTTCAGCAGCCCCTGAACTCTCCCTAATGTTTTCCTGTGTCCGTGTTCACTATGTTGTTTACAGGCAGTTGAGTTTACAGTTGTTTTTTTTTTTTTGAATGCACCAAACTTGCCTTCAGGAGTAGATTTTATCAGCGTTTCAAATGCCAAATGCTTGTAAACGTATGTAAACGCATTTAACCACGTTTGCGTTTAGAAGCTTTTTTTAACTGTTCCATGACCAGATGCTGCCCAGAGCCTTTTTTCATCATCAGGAATGCATGCAAAGTGTTTTCCATGTATTCAAATGGACTCGGTGTACCAGGGCAGTCAGTTCCAGGTATTCAAATGGACCCGGTACACCAGCGCAGTCAGTTCCATGTATTCAAATGGACTCGGTACACCCAGCGCAGTCAGTTCCAGGTATTCAAATGGACCCGGTACACCAGCGCAGTCAGTTCCAGGTATTCAAATGGACCCGGTACACCAGCGCAGTCAGTTCCAGGTATTCAAATGGACCCGGTACACCAGCGCAGTCAGTTCCATGTATTCAAATGGACCCGGTACACCCAGCGCAGTCAGTTCCATGTATTCAAATGGACTCGGTACACCAGCGCAGTCAGTTCCATGTATTCAAATGGACTCGGTACACCAGCGCAGTCAGTTCCAGGTATTCAAATGGACCCGGTACACCAGCGCAGTCAGTTCCAGGTATTCAAATGGACTCGGTACACCAGCGCAGTCAGTTCCAGGTATTCAAATGGACTCGGTACGCCAGCGCAGTCAGTTCCAGGTTTTGCGTGAAGGAAAAAAAATGGTAGAATGCGCTGCATTATGCTCATGATGGGATCCATAGTGAAGACAACCAGAAAAGACAGGTCATCTCAACACATACTGCTCTCTCTGCTTCTGCTCTCTCTATTTCTCCTAAAATGTTTGAAATAGTTAATTTTTTTACTATTTTTCAGTGCATTCTGGGCATTTTGGAAGGTCTCCTGAAGTTATCTTAAAAAAAACGCACATAAACGCGGTATGCAAACGCAGCCAACAGACGTTTTTTAACATACGTTTAGTCAGTTTCCATCGTTCAGAAGAGTTTTCCAAATTCCCCGTCTACATGGAGCCTTATTGTCAAAGCTTAACTGAACAAGCTGATTGGCTGATTGGCCGCCATGCACAGCTGCACCAGATTGTAAGTGCGCCAGTTTTAGTAAATCTAAATGTCTGCTTATCCCAAAGTTCAACCCATTAAGCAGGAATTTCCCAAAATTCAAACTGTGAATGACCAGCATAACGGTTAGAATTTGGAAAAATCCAAACCCATATTAACCACCTCCTGCCCGCCATATAGTAATATGATGGGCGCAAGGTGGTTCTCTCGTTCTGGGATGACGTCCTCCCATTCTCACTGCGCATGCGCGGCTCAGGGAGCGCGCAGCGTGGCGATCGGCGGTGCGCTGTGTTCTTCGGACACAGCGGATCACCGATCACGGAAAGAGCCGAAGATGTCGGCTCGGTCATGTAATCAGCTGTGTCCAATCACAGCTGATCACATGTAAACAGGGAAATGCCGGTTATCGGCATTTCTCTCCCCACGAGCTGTCACGCTGACAGAGGAGAGGAGAGCCAGAAATCGGCTTTCCACGGAGGGGACATGTACACTGATCATCAGGGCACTGATGATCAATGTAGCCCCAGCAGTGCCACCTGTCAGTGTCCGTCAGTGCCCATCAGTGCCACATAGTGCCTACCAGTGCACATCAATGCCACATATCAGTGCCCATCTGAACTTCCTTTCAGTGTCACCCATCAGTGCCACCTATCAATGCCAATCAGTGCCAGTCAGTGCCACCCATCAGTGTGCATCAGTGCCACCTATCAGTGCCAGTCAGTGCTGCCTATCAGTGTGCATCAGTGCCGCCTATCAGTGTCTGTCAGTGCCGTCTAACAGCGCCAGTCAGTGCCGCCTAACAGCGCCAGTCAGTGCCGCCTATTAGTGCCAGTCAGTGCTGCCTATCAGTGCTGCCTATCAGTGCCCATCAGTGATGCCTGTCAATGCCCATCAGTGCCACCTACCAGTGCCTCCTCATCAGTGCCCATCAGTGCAACCTATCAGTGTCCATCAGTGCAGCCTATCAGTGCCCATCAGTGCAGCCTCATTAGTGCACATTAGTGAAGGAGAAAAATCACTTATTTACAAAATTTTATAACAAAAACTAAGAAAAAAAACATTTTTTTTTCAACATTTTCAGTGGTTTTTGGTTTGTTTAAGAAAAAAAAAAAAACCCAGAGGTGATTAAATACCACCAAAATAAAGCTCTATTTGTCACAAAAAAATGATAAAAATTTCATATGGGTACGGTGTTGTATGACTGCGCAATTGTCATTCAAAGTGCAACAGCGCTGAAAGCTGGAAATTGGCCTGGGCAGGAAGGGGGTAGAAGTGCCCGGGGGGCAAGAAGGGGGTAGAAGTGCCCGGGGGGCAGGAAGGGGGTAGAAGTGCCCGGGGGGCAGGAAGGGGGTAGAAGTGCCCGGTAGGTGAGGGGTTAAATAACACAACATTACCACCTTGAGGTTTCTTGAATTTCGATTCTATACTTGTATACATGGAGAGGCTGCAGCAGACACTTAAATTGCCACATAAAGTGCTGGGAGGATTACATGAAGGAAAAATGAAGGCTTTGTTACAGCAGAGTCCCCCCCCCCCCCCCCTAACCTTTATAGGTAAGAAAGCTGTCATTTTACAGGCGGTTGCCGTGGTCCGGCTCCTGTGTCCAGCTATGGCATGAAATGTCAGTTGAGAGCTCCCATAGGCACACTGGTGACAGTTATCAGCACAGGTATGATTTGAATGTTACTGGCTGAACGTGCTCATTTGCATATCTTTGCAAAGGATTCTGGGAAATGGGTTTTGCCACCTCAGGATTGATGAAATCTGAATTATTTGTGTTTTTTAGATGGTTTATAGAGCCAGAAATATTTGGAAGTGAACATACAAGCCAAAAGAAAGATTTTAATGTTAAATTTAAATTTGACTCTCCATAGGTTGATATTTTGGTAGTTCGGACGGTTTAAAAAGACTCGAAGCTTACTGAGCAGATGGAGAGGTTGGGAAAGCTCAATGGACACCAAGTGTAGGATCTCTCTGGGGCCGAATCAGTGACACTGATGTGAAGATTCCTCTGAGGGGAAGTTCATTGATACTGATGTGAGGATCTCTCTGAAAGAAGTTCAGTGATTACTGACAGGAGTGATACAAAAGGATCACTCAGGGGGAGTTCAGTGATACGGACAATGAGGATCTCTCTGGGGAAGTTCAATGATACTGACAAAGAGGATGTCACAGAGAAGTTCAGTGACACTGAGGGCAATACAGACTTCTCTGAGCCCCATTCCAGAACACTTGGAAGTTGAGCGTTGTTCCTTGCCTCTCTTTTTTTAGGTGTTTTTGCATTGCAGACCCTGTGCATTGCATTGCAGACCCTGTTATCTCACATATAGATTCTTATTATTATAGCCACCCTAACTCCTCCCACAGTTCTTACACTACATAGACAGTAATATACCGAAACGTGCGGATTGTTCCCGATTGGTGCGCTGTTACTTTGTGGAACGTTTCGCCGAATGGTTCACGAAATATCGCCGTTTTTGTGGTGAAATTGGTCCCATAGGAATGAATGGCGCAACTAGAGTGGGAGCTGACAAAGCTAGAGTGTGGAAGGAAAAATCAGGACATGATTTCTAAACTGCCATCACTCCCTCATTTTCAAGCCCACCTACACAAATCTTATATCAAAACGTTCAGCAATCCCTGCTGTCACTAAAAATGTTCACGGCTAAGCCATACTCCTGATAGTTTTCACAATATGACCATTTGTTTGCAACTCACGCCGCCCATTGACTTTCATTGAAACTTCACTCGCAGCCACCTGAAATTTGAAGGGCCATTTCTAAACTGCGACTGTGCCTTCATTTTTAATATTTCAGAGACATACTATACATCAACATGTAGGTCTGGGTCTTGTGAGTCTCACAATATAAAGCTCTTTGCTGTAGGATTTATACTTTTAAAACTACAACCGTTTGAAGATGGCAACCGCCAGTGAAGTGAGCAAGTTGGAGCAGTTTGTTTATAAAAGCCCCTCTCAGCTTGCTCTGACTGAGTGAGTTGCCATAGCAACCGAAGGGGAGTCACCAGGAAGCAGAGTGATCAAAGCTACAGTGTGAGCTGCAAAATAAAAGTTCAAATGTATTTCTTCAAGCTTGCCATGTGCACTGTTTACATTTCATCAATCACTTGGTTAGTGTTGGAGGCAAGAACACTTCACACAATTTCCCCAGAAATTGTAGATTTTCTAGTTAGTATATTATTATTTTTTTATGATTATTTATTAAATTATAATTTATGATTTCGTGTTTCAAATTTTATCATCCCCGGGATGTTTACTAGACTCTTGTTCGGACAGATTTCAGTGAGTTATTCCTAAAAATTACAGCCTACAATAAAAAAAAATACATATTTCATGCAAAACAATGTACCGCTTTGAGCACAGAAATACTGACATAATCAGACCGCTAGGGAGGTTAATGGGCAGTGGGGGAGCAGTCCTTAAAGCGGGACTTCCCCTTTTGGGTGGAGCTCCTCTTTAAGCTGTTTCTGTTTGGAGGGAGCAGTTATTGATCTTCTTACTCATTCAGTTAGTTTTAGCCCAACACGATTTATTACAGGAGATAAAAAAATGAAACCAGAGAAGATCCCTACGCATTCCACTGTGGTAAAAAGTAATGTCAGCAGCACATGAAGTTACATCGTCTATTCACCATCACTTCTCCAGTTCCCATTTAGAAGATCTTCCAATTAATTGGATTTTATTTAGGAGCCTTGATAAAGCATGCCTGTCGTTTCCCACATGCTTTGTTGCTATGTACCCCTTTGAAGCGAGTAACACTACCCCATTCTTTGTGACACATTTAGCTCCACCCTAATTAAGATTTAATCCCTGGTGTGGGACGACATCACTAGAGAAATCAGCCACAACTGGTCCGGGGTCAAACGTCGATCTTTCCAGCCCTGCCAATATTCCACACCATGAAAGCGTAATAGGAATGCCGAATGATGTTACAGTAATCAGCATATCATACAGATGGCCCATCACTAGAGGGAAACGTTAACCCTTCTGCTCTGCAATCCCCCCGACCCAAACTCTGGAATCTCCAGAAAGTTCCCCTTCCTACCTTTTATTTTATGGTTTGTAATTAAGTGTTCCTGCATGGCGACCACTTCCTGTTATCTCACATATATATTCTTATTATTATAGCCAAATTTACCGCCCTAACTCCTCCCACAGTTTTTACACTACATAGACAGTAATATACGGAAACGTGCGGATTGTTCCCGATTGGTGCGCTATTACTTTGTGGAACGTTTCGCCGAATGGTTCACGAAATATCGACGTTTTTGTGGTGAAATTGGTCCCATAGGAATGAATGGCAGAATGTTCAAAACTAGGGTGGGAGCTGACAAAAGCTAGAGTGTGAGCTGAAAAATCAGGATGTGATTTTTAAACTGCCATCACTCCCTCATTTTCAAGCCCACCTACACAAATCTTATATCAAAACGTTCAGCTATCTCTGCTGCCACTAAAAATGTCCTCAGCTAAGCCATAGTCCTGATAGTTTTCACAATATGCCCATTTGTTTGCAACTCACGCTGCCCATTGACATTCATTGAAACTCCACTCTAGCCACCTCAAATTTAAAGGGCAAATTCTAAACTGCAACTGTGCCTTCATTTTTAATATTTCAGAGACATACTATGCATCAAAATGTAGGTCTGGGTCTTGTGATTCTCACAATATAAACCTCTTCACTGTAGAATTTATACGTTTTAAACTACAACCGTTTGAAGATGGCAACTGCCAGTGAAGTGAGCAAGTTGGAGCAGTTTGTTTTTAACCGCTCTTCTCTGCCCTTGCTGTAGAGTGAGCTGCCATAGGAACCCAGGTGTGTGAGCTTAGTCCAACCTGTTCACAGTTACTCAAGCCACTCCACCCACTTACTCCGCCCACTCCAGTTGTAGACTACTGGTGGAGGCAAGAACACTTCACACAATTTCCCCAGAAATTGCAGCTTTTTCTAGTTATTATTATTATACAGGATTTATATATTATTATTATTATTACACCAACACCACTATCATTCCTGCCCCGCAAGCCAAAGTCCTTGGCGTCATTCTTGACTCGAACCTCTCCTTCCTCCCTCATGTCAAATCACTTGCAAACACCTGCAGGCTCCATCTCCGCAATATTGCCAAGATACGTGCCTTCCTCACCCAGACACCACCAAACTTCTAGTACACTCCCTCATCATCTCACGCCTTAACTACTGCAACTCTCTTCTCATTGGCCTACCCAAGTGCAGGCTCTCCCGCTCCAGACCATCCTGAACTCAGCGGCCAGACTCATCCACCTCACCACCCGCTCCACCTTTGCCACCCCCCTCTGCCTCTCCCTCCACTGGCTCCCGATTGCCCAACGCATCAAATTTAAACTTCTAATCCTGACCTACAAAGCCGTTCATAACACTGCCCCTGACTACCTCACCAACCTGATCCCCAAGTACCACCCTACCCGTACCCTTCGCTCCTCACAGGACCTCCTTCTATCCTGCTCCCTGGTCTCCTCCTCCCATGCACGACTGCAGGACTTCTCCAGGTCCTCCCCTATCCTCTGGAACTCACTGCCCCAATCCATCCGACTGTCACCTTCCCTCATTCAGGCTCTCTCTCAAAACCAATCTCTTCAGGGAAGCCTACCCCACCCTCACCTAACGGCCATCCTCCCTCATTCCTCCCACCACTTCATTCCCCTCAGCCACTTCCTATTGTTTCACTGCCCCCTCCCTCCTAGATTGTAAGCTTGAAAGAGTAGGGCCCTCTTACCCCTCGTACGCTGTCTGTTTTTGTTGTACTGTGCCATGTATTGTCCCCCCTATTGTACAGCGCTGAGCAAACCCTTTGGCGCTATATAAACTCGATGTAATAATAATAATAATAATTATACAGGATTTATATATTAATATTATTATACAGGATTTATATATTAATATTATTATACAGGATTTATATTATTATTATTATTATTATTATTATACAGGATTTATATTATTATTATTATTATACAGGATTTATATATTATTATTATTATACAGGATTTATATTATTATTATTATACAGGATTTATATATTATTATTATTATACAGGCTTTATATATTATTATTATTATTATTATTATTATACAGGATTTATATTATTATTATTATTATACAGGATTTATATATAATTATTATTATTATTATACAGGATTTATATTATTATTATTATACAGGATTTATATATTATTATTATTATACAGGCTTTATATATTATTATTATTATTATACAGGATTTATATATTATTATTATTATTATACAGGATTTATATATTATTATTATATACAGGATTTATGGTGCCAACAGTTTGCTCAGCGCTTTACAATATAACGGGAGACAATACAGTAACAATACAGTTCAATACAAGAGGGATTTGAGAGCCCTGATCCTTGGAGCTTACAATCTAGTTGATGTTGAGTCAAAAACTTTGTTTTTCTATTAATAACGTGAAGATTATAATTCCTCTTGAGTTTATACAGCCATCTAGAGAATACATTTTACTAGTCTTTCTCAACCTTTTTAGCATTGAGGAACCCTTGATATAACTTTCCAGTCTCAGGAAACCCCTGCTAAAAATGATTATATCTACAACCAGAGGTGGACTGACAAGTCATGGGGCCCCCGGGCAATAGGGGATCATGGGGCCCCTGTGTCCACGCCCACACTCAAACCACACCCAAAAAAGCCTATGAAAGATACCAGGGGCATCTCATGGGTCTCCCTACTGACCCCGGACCCGAGTGCTTGAATGGTCAGTCCACCTCTGTCTACAACTCGTGGTTTCCATAGTAGTTTGGTCACTTGGAAGGGTGCTCCTTACGTTTGGTCACTTGGAAGGGTGCTCCTTACGTTTGGTCATTTGAAAGAATCCCCCCTTACAGATAGATAAAAAGAACAAATGTGTTAGTGGGAACTTATTTAAGAAGCAGAAATTGCTCATTGGCTCATGTAACCTCTGGAGGAACCCTAGTGCTCTGGGGAACCTTGGTTTTATGTATTTTATGTACTTTATATAGCGCCGTCAGTTTACGGAGCACTTTACATATATACCCGAGAGAGCCTTCCATTACCACCTTCCCAAATACACTGTCAACCCCCCCCCCCCCCCCCCGACCCTACAAGAGAGAAAACACCTTCACAGCTCCAGACATCCTCGGGAACAAGAGTCAGGCTCTGCATACACCATCAAGCAGCCCCTCTGAGATCTCACCTGGTTCCCAAGCTGCGTGTCCCTTCTTCCATTCCTTCTTTTTGGGGGGCGGGCATTGCCCCCCTGAAAAATGCCGCTCAACCCTGAAAGATACTGCTGCCCCCCCTGAAAAATGCCACTCAACCCTGAAAGATGCTGTTGCCCAGGGGCGGACTGACAACTAATGGGGCGCGCCGGGCAATAGGGGATCATGGGGCCCCTGTGTCCTTGCCCAAACTCAAAAAAAAGCCCATGAAAAAGGTACCAGGGGCATCTCATTGGCCCCCTACTGACCCCAGGCCCTCAGGCAGTTCCCGAGTTTCCAAATGGTCAGTCCGCCCCTGCTGCTGCCCCCCCTGAAAAATGCCGCCCTAGACAAATGCCTTGTGGTGAATACGCCCCTGACAGCAGTCCAATAATGGCAAAGATGAGGACACGCCCAAAGCACGTGAAGCCGCTCCCACAACGCCAACATGTAGGGGAGACACTGGGATAAATTCTATGAAGCCTGGGGGGGCGTAAGGCAGATTCTATGGAACAGCTTGAATTGTATCATTCGATCCCTCGCCAATAACAATAAAACTTTCCTTAAATAAAAATGAAACAAAAAGATACTGAAAGTTCTTTGAGGGCTTTTTAATAATCTCTCCCTTGTGTTTGTATTGTAGTTTTGATGCTGGTCTGGGCTCTGAACACCAGAAGACACTACAAGTGGGGATATAGAGCCATCATTGGGTGAGTACAGCTCCACGGGAGCATGTTGGACCAACATACATGGATAATGGGTTTTTTTTAATACTTTAAAATCCAAGAGTTTGGACTGTTGGAGGACAAATTGTGAACTGATTAGTGTTTGTTGTTTGTGTTTTGCCTATACCATGTCTTCAAAAGGTTAAAGTTTATCTAAAGCCATTTTTTAATAGAGTAAGGAATGGTACAAACCGCCGTCAAGGTTGTTGTTTTCTATATTTTTTATTTTTTTTGTGCCTGTGACTCACTAGGGGGATTTTTTAACTTCTTTTCTAAAGGTGCAGCAGAAAGAGAGAGAAAAAATTCTCCAAAATAAGGAAAATAATCACTTAGATAGCTGACACTGAAGCAAGTGTCCTAATTGGAAGATTTTCCCTCTATTCCTATTTCAGTGACAGCTGAAAATTTTTTGATCTTCCTTTCATTTCAGCCCTGATAATAATGGTCACAGGACAAACAGAGGGGTTGAACCTCCCCAGCAAGAATACAGACAGCAATAAAATCCTTTCTCTGCTAATAGTTGTCCTGTGGATTTAAAATGGGTATTTTTTTTTTGTGGTTTCCAATTTATTTCCAATTTATTTGAGATTATAATTCATTCCAAATGCATTTTATTATCTATATTATTATTTTTGAATCATTATTATTCAATTTTAAACAGGATCTATTTTCAATATTAATATTATTATTATTATACAGGATTTATATATTATTATTATTATTATTATACAGGATTTATATATTATTATTATATTATAATACAGGATTTATATATTATTATTATTATTATTATTATTATACAGGATTTATATATTATTATTATTATTATTATACAGGATTTATATATTATTATTATTATTATTATTATTATACAGGATTTATATATTATTATTATTATTATTATACAGGATTTATATATTATTATTATTATTATTATTATACAGGATTTATATATTATTATTATTATTATACAGGATTTATATTATTATTATTATTATTATACAGGATTTATATATTATTATTATTAGTATACAGGATTTATATGGGCCAACAGTTTGCTCAGCGCTTTACAATATAACGGGAGACAATACAGCAACAATACAGTTCAATACAAGAGGGATTTGAGGGCCCTGATCCTTGGAGCTTACAATCTAGTTTAAATCCTGTATAATAATAATAATATATATAAATCCAGTATAATAATAATATATAAATCCTGTATAATAATAACAATATATAAATCCTGTATAATAATAATAATATAAATAAATCCTGTATAATAATAATATATAAATCCTGTATAATAATAACAATATATAAATCCTGTATAATAATAATAATAATAATTTTCAATATTAATATTATTGTTTTTTAATATTATTTTATTATTAATTATTAATTTTTGTCCTATTGAATTTTACATTTATTTTAATTTTTTTTGTATATAAATTGACATTGGCTGAAAATCCCTTTCAGTTTTTAATGATTTGAATGCATTCAAATTTTTAATTTGTGTTAATTTTTAGTTTGTTTTTTTATTTAATTCATACAGCAATAAAATCCTTTCTCTGCTAATAGTTGTCCTGTGGATTTCAAATGGGTATTTTTTTTTTGTGCTTTCCAAATTATTTACAATTTATTTACAATTTATTTGTGATTATAATTCATTCCAAATGCATTTTATTATCTATATTATTATTTTTGAATCATTATTATTAAATTTTAAACAGAATCTATTTTCAATATTAATATTATTTTTTTATATTATCTTATTATGTCTTATTGAATTTTACATTTATTTTTATTTTTTTTGTATATAAATTGACATTGGCTGAAAATCCCTTTCAGTTTTTAATGATTTGAATGCATTTAAATTTTTAATTTGTGTTAATTTTTACATTTTTTTAATTTAATTTATACGTTAACGTTCCCCCAGTTTCAGATGAATCAATATAAAAAATTGTTTTTGTGTGAATTTTGTAGTCTCGAAATAGGGCCCAACCTTCAAATCCTTAAAATATTCTGTGCTGTCTTTTTGTGAGCAAATTTCAATATTAGAAGCTTTTGGACAATGCAACCTTTAATTGGGTGTTCCCATTGGACTTTATAAACAGCTATAAAAACCTGACGTAGGTTCTAACCCTTCCCTATACTATCTATTTTTCTGGCTTTGGATTAACTTTAACTAAATTGTGAAAATGAACATTGCCTTGTCTGCTCAGTTCAGAGACTAGGTGGGAGAGTCTCCAATATGGGTAATGCCATGGCAGAGGAAGTCTGCATGGAAAGACCTCATTGGTGGCAGTTAGAGGAAGTCTGTGTTGAAAGATCTTATTGGTGGCAGTTAGAGGAAGTATGCATTGAAAGACCTCATTGGTGGCAGTTATAGGACGTTTACATTGAAAGACCTCATTGGTGGCAGTTAGAGGAAGTCTGCGTTGGAAGACCTCATTGGTGGCAGTTAGAGGAAGTCTGCATTGAAAGGCCTCATTGTTGGGAGTTAGAGGAAGCCTGCATTGAAAGACCTCATTGGTGGCAGTTAAAGGATGTTTACATTGGAAGACCTCATTGGTGGCAGTTAGAGGAAGTCTACACTGAAAGACCTCATTGGTGGCAGTTAGAGGAAATCTGCGTTGAAAGACCTCATTGGTGGCAGTTAGAGGAAGTATGCATTGAAAGACCTCATTGGTGGCAGTTAGAGGACGTTTACATTGAAAGACCACATTGGTGGTAGTTAGAGGAAGTCTGAATTGAAAGACCTCATTGTTGGGAGTTAGAGCAAGCCTGCTTTGAAAGACCTCATTGGTGGCAGTTAGAGGATGTTTACACTGGAAGACCTCATTGGTGGCAGTTAGAGGAAGTCTGCATTGAAAGACCTCATTGTTGGGAGTTAGAGCAAGCCTGCATTGAAAGACCTCATTGGTGGCAGTTAGAAGAAGCCTGCATTGAAAGACCTCATTGGTGGCAGTTAGAGGAAGCCTGCATTGAAAGACCTCATTGGTGGCAGTTAGAGGATGTTTACATTGAAAGACCTCATTGGTGGCAGTTAGAGGAAGTCTGAATTGAAAGACCTTATTGGTGGCAGTTTGAAGAAGCCTGCATTGAAAGACCTCATAGGTGGCAGTTAGAGGATGTTTGCATTGAAAGACCTCATTGGTGGCAGTTAGAGGAAGCCTGCATTGAAAGACCTCATTGGTGGCAGTTTGAAGAAGTCTGCATTGAAAAACTCAGTGGTGGGAGTTAGAAGCCTTCTCCATTGAAAGACCTCATTGGTAGCAGTTAGAGGAATTCTTCATTGAAAGACCTCATTGGTGGCAATTAGAGGAAGTCTATATTGAGAAACCTCATTGGTGGGAGTTAGAGGAAGTCTATATTGAGAAACCTCATTGGTGGGAACTAGAGGAAGTCTATATTGAGAGACCTCATTGGTGGGAGTTAGAGGAAGTCTGCATTGAAAGATCTTATCAGTGGCAGCTAGACATTGATAGCTCACTGTAACTCTCCAGTTCTCCTCACATTCCTCACCATATTTGAAATATGTTTTGGGGGTTTCAAATGGTTGCAAATTTACAAAAGATGTCATGAGAGAGATATTGGAGCTGTAATTTTTTTCTCTGTCTGAAAATGCTAGTTTCCTGGCAGATAATTTGTTTACTTTTCCAGGAAAGGTGATGTATTTGTACTGGCAGTGGGCCAGGCAACTAGCATTTTTTGTATCACTAATAATTTGTTTGATCCATGATATGATCATCTTTATAATGTAAACTGCATGTGTGTTCTTGGAAAAAAAAGTGGGCTTTGTTCCAAGAAACGTGTTGGGTGAAAATCTGCATATGAACGATTCTCTGTGATGTATACAATGATGCTATAAATCGATCTTTTTATTGTGATCTTTGGTCATTTGTAAATCTGGTTTATGTGGAAAAAGAACATATTTTCATATGATATTAAGATATTTTATGTGTGTGTCGACATTAAAGATGAACTGCAGGAATTCAGCGGCTTAGTATAATCTGCTGGCTTACTATAAGTGAAAACGGATCTTCACGGATCTTCACCCAACCCCCCCACTTTCCGGGTGGTCTGGTTGGCACATTTACCAGACTCAGCCACCCAGAGGATCCATCATTGTCTCGTGAGGACCTCTTGTATTCTGCCACCTCTCAGTCCCGCGCCATGTTGGTTGGGACATCATCAAGAGGCCCGCTGGCTCTTCCTGGTTCAGCGCCGGTGTGCTTCCTGATGATATGGCGCTGACACCCCTCCCCCTCCTCCTTTCTGAATAAAGCACTATGCCTCCTGGGATATCAGATGTGCATATCCCAGGAGGCAAAGGGAGGACGGTGCATGTCATTCACCTAGGTGAATGACACGCAAGGAGTGGCGAGGCTGCACTTTTTTTTCAAAAAATGTAAACAAACAAACAAAAAAAAAGAGCCCTATTCTGGTACCAGAGTGATCGATAGGAGGGAAGACTTTCCTGCGGGTGAAGATCTGCTTTAAACTGTTACTAAAGCCAGGAGCTTGCATTCAATATATAGTCATAGATATAGTGAATGCAGGGTCCGGGGAGAGCGGATATAGTGAATGCAGGGTCCGGGGAGACCAGATATAGTGAATGCAGGGTCCGGGGAGACCAGATATAGTGAATGCAGGGTCCGGGGAGAGCGGATATAGTGAATGCAGGGTCCGGGGAGAGCAGATATAGTGAATGCGGGGTCCGGGGAGAGCAGATATAGTGAATGCCTGGTCCGGGGAGACCAGATATAGTGAATGCAGGGTTCGGGGAGACCAGATATAGTGAATGCAGGGTCCCGGGGAGAGCGGATACAGTGAATGCAGGGTCCGGGGAGACCAGATATAGTGGATGCAGGGTGTGGGGAGAGCGGATATAGTGAATGCAGGGTCCGGGGAGACCGGATATAGTGAATGCAGGGTCCAGGGAGACCAGATATAGTGAATGCAGGGTCCTGGGAGAGCGGATATAGTGAATGCAGGGTCCGGGGAGAGCAGATATAGTGAATGCAGGGTCTGGGGAGACCAGATATAGTGAATGCAGGGTCTGGGGAGAGCGGATATAGTGAATGCAGGGTCTGGGGTGACCAGATATAGTGAATGCTGGATCCAGGGAGAGCAGATATAGTGAATGCGGGGTCCGGGGAGAGCAGATATAGTGAATGCAGGGTTTCCGGGGAGAGCAGATATAGTGAATGCAGGGTCCGGGGAGAGCAGATATAGTGAATGCGGGGTCCGGGGAGAGCAGATATAGTGAATGCAGGGTTTCCGGGGAGAGCAGATATAGTGAATGCAGGGTCCGGGGAGAGCAATATAGTGAATGCAGGGTTCGGGGAGACCAGATATAGTGAATGCAGGGTCCGGGGAGACCAGATATAGTGAATGCAGGGTCCGGGGAGAGCAGATATAGTGAATGCGGGGTCCGGGGTTTAGTAACACTTTCATTAAAACAGTAAATTAAAGAGACATGTCCAGAAGGTGTCAGGCACCTCGTTGGACTTGACACCTAGTGATCCAGCACATGAAGTGGCTGAATTCCTGAAGCTCAGATTTAAGGATCTGCATGTCACAAGTGTCCTTGGCTCTTTGGAATCTCGGTGTTCGCTGCTTGTTGGTCGAGTAGATTTGGAAGGACTGTGAACTTTTTTCTTTTCTTATTCGCAGTGTATTTTTGTTCATATTTATTGTAAATTGTTATCAGTTTAAGGTTTTCTGTTCTCTATGGACCGCCCTGAGCAATTCTGTATAAGATGTTTCATTGATGGCAATGTTCATATTTTTGCTGTATATGAAGAGTGCACATCCTGGTATATAGCAATGCTGGAGGTAAAGGGAATCAGGATGAATCCTGGATATCAGTGTACATGGAGCCTCCTATATATTACATAGGCTGTTGTTGTGTTATAATATACAGGTCAGTGCTGGGGGGTAATATACTGAATGGGGATGTGTTATAATATACAGGTCAGTGCTGGGGGGTAATATACTGAATGGTGATGTGTTATAATATACAGGTCAGTGTTGGGGGGTAATATACTGAATGATGATGTGTTATAATATACAGGTCAGTGCTGGGGGGTAATATACTGAATGGTGATGTGTTATAATATACAGGTCAGTGCTGGGGGGTAATATACTGACTGGTGATGTGTTATAATATACAGGTCGGTGCTGGGGGGTAATATACTGAATGTGTTTATAATATACAGGTCGGTGCTGGGGGGTAATATACTGAATGATGTGTTATAATATACAGGTCAGTGCTGGGGGGTAATATACTGAATGGTGATGTGTTATAAATATACAGGTCGGTGCTGGGGGGTAATATACTGAATGATGATGTTATAATATACAGGTCAGTGCTGGGGGGTAATATACTGAATGATGATGTGTTATAATATACAGGTCGGTGCTGGGGGGTAATATACTGAATGATGATGTGTTATAAATATACAGGTCGGTGCTGGGGGGTAATATACTGAATGTGTTTATAATATACAGGTCGGTGCTGGGGGGTAATATACTGAATGATGATGTGTTATAATTATCAGGTCGGTGCTGGGGGTAATATACTGAATGATGATGAGTTATAATATACAGGTCGGTGCTGGGGGGTAATATTCCTGAATGATGTGTTATAATATACAGGTCAGTGCTGGGGGGTTCTAATATACTGAATGATGTGTTATAATATACAGGTCAGTGCTGGGGGTAATATACTGAATGGTGATGTGTTATAATATACAGGTCGGTGCTGGGGGGTAATATACTGAATGTGTTATAATATACAGGTCAGTGCTGGGGGGTAATATACTGAATGGTGATGTGTTATAATATACAGGTCAATGCTGGGGGGTAGTATACTGAATGATGATGTGTTATAATATACAGGTCAATGCTGGGGGGTAATATACTGAATGATGATGTGTTATAATATACAGGTCGGTTCTGGGGGGTAACTTACTGAATGATGTGTTATAATATACAGGTCAGTGCTGGGGGGTAATATACTGAATGGTGATGTGTTATAATATACAGGTCAGTGCTGGGGGGTAATATACTGAATGGTGATGTGTTATAATATATACCCCCTTCAGTGCTGGGGGGTAATATACTGAATGATGATGTGTTATAATATACAGGTCGGTTTCTGGGGGGTAATATACTGAATGGTGATGTGTTATAATATACAGGTCAGTGCTGGGGGGTAATATACTGAATGGTGATGTTATACTATACAGATCATCTCTCTGCTTCCTCCTCCTGTCAGCATGTTCACCCCCTGTTGACTACAGACATCACTGTGCAAGGTATTAGAGCCTTGATTGGCTCAGAGCGCTTCCCGTCCCTCCCACAGCCTGAAAGCTGCAGTGCAGTGGGAAGCCGATAGGAGGACAGATTCAGGTACTTATATTAGTCCAGGTTCATACCTATGAGTTTTCCGCAGCATTTTGCAGAAAACGCAATGCAGTCCATGTAACATGATTTCCTACAGGGCACGTTCCCATCTCTGCGTTTTCCCCGCACTTGCACTTTTTGGAAAGGGTCAGCGACTTTTTTTAACTCCTCGCCTACAGGGCACTTCTACCCCCTTCCTGCCTACAGGGCACTTCTACCCCCTTCCTGCCTACAGGACACTTCTACCCCCTTCCTGCCTACAGGACACTTCTACCCCCTTCCTGCCTACAGGGCACTTCTACCCCCTTCCTGCCTACCGGGCACTTCTACCCCCTTCCTGCCTACAGGACACTTCTACCCCCTTCCTGCCTACAGGGCACTTCTACCCCCTTCCTGCCTACAGGCACTTCTACCCCCTTCCTGCCTACAGGGCACTTCTACCCCCTTCCTGCCTACAGGGCACTTCTACCCCCTTCCTGCCTACAGGGCACTTCTACCCCCTTCCTGCCTACAGGGCACTTTACCCCCTTCCTGCCTACAGGGACACTTCTACCCCCTTCCTGCCTACAGGACACTTCTACAGGACCCCCTTTCCTGCCTACAGGACACTTCTACCCCCTTCCTGCCTACAGGGCACTTCTACCCCCTTCCTGCCTACAGAGCACTTCTACCCCCTTCCCCCTTCCTGCCTACAGGGCACTTCTACCCCCTTCCTGCCTACAGGCACTTCTACCCCCTTCCCTGCCCAGGCCAATTTCCAATTTCTGTTGCACTTTGAATGACAATTGCGCGGTGATGCAACACTGTACCCATATGACATTTTTATCATTTTTTTGTGACAGACAGAGCTTTATTTTGGTGGTATTTAATCACCTCTGGGGTTTTTATTTTTTGTTAAACAAACCAAAAGCAGCTGAAAATTTTGAAAAAAAAATGTTTTTTCTTAGTTTTTGTAATAAAAGTTTGTAAATAAGTGATTTTCTCCTTCACTGATGTGCGCTAATGAGGCTGCAGTGATGGGCACTGATAGGTGGCACTGATGGGCACTGATGAGGAGGCACTGGTAGGTGGCACTGATGGGCATTGACAGGCATCACTGATGGGCACTGAAAGGCGGCACTGATAAGCGGCAATGACTGGCACTGATTGGCATTGATAGGTGGCACTGATGAAAGGCAACTCAGATGGGCACTGATATGTGGCATTGATGTGCACTGGTAGGCACTGATGCATGATGGCATTTATGATGGTGGCACTGATTGGCACTGGCAGGTGGCATGAAAGAGCACCAGACACTGATATGCATTTATGTGGCACTGATGGACACTGGCAGGTGGCACTGCTGGGGCCACACTGATCATCAGTGCCCTGATGATCAGTGTACATGTCCCCTCCGAGGAATGCTGATTACCGGCTCTCCTCTCCTCTGTCAGCATGACAGCTCGTGAGGAGGGAAATGCCGACATGGCATTTCCCTGTTTACATGCGATCAGCTGTGATTGGACACAGCTGATCACATGACCGAGCTGACATCTTCGGCTCTTTCCATGGATCGGTGATCCGCTGTGTCCGAGGGACACAGCGCACCGCCGATCGCCGCGCTGCGCACTCCCGGAAGTCGCACATGAGCGATGAGAATGGGAGAAGGTCTTATGACGTCCTCCCAGAACGAGAGAACCGCCTTGCGCCCGTCATTGTACTATAGTGGACAGTAGGCGGTTAAACGCGAAACATTCCAGTTTTGGTTCTATAGACTTCAACGGAAATGCTGCAGAAAAGCGTGTATGTGCGTTTTTGCTGTGTTTTTGATGCGTTTTGAGTTTTATTCTGCCCAGCAACAAGTTAAAAAAAAAAAAAAAAATTAACAAAAACGCATATGCAAAGACGCAAAACGCACCGCAAAAAGCATCAAACGCAACCTGCATAGGCGTAGCTTAATTTCTGGGAGTGTGGTGTATTATGTGGACACAGGAGAGGTGACCAGGACCTGTCAGAGGACATTGGCGTGTGTTTCGGCACGTCTCGGCGATCGCAGCGCGGCGCATCCGGCGCTCTCACAGATCTTTCCACAAACACTCGGCACGTTACAGAAGGGAGAGGCAGGAAGGCAGCTTCACGCCAGACACGTTGTGGAAGAATACACGGCGGCCTCCTCATCGCTCCTTGATATCAGGAGACGCCTGACACACTGGGATGGCGGCCAGCCACCGCCTCGCCCTTTTTTTTTTTTTTTCGTGACCGAGTGCCCAGCATGCCTTGCAGGCCTTTTACTGTAACTAAAAAAAAAAAAAAAAAAAAAAACGACGATGCGGTGCCAGTGTAGTCGTCTCTTGCTGGAATGTGCCAACCTGTAAAACGTGCAGGATGAACGAGGGGAGGAGGAATGACGGCGCACGCTCCTCGTCGGCTATTTCCTGTTACAGTAATAAACGATCAATAAACGATCGGTTTGTTTTATAGGAACAAGCGACAACACCGTCAATCGATTTGTCACACATGGGGGGGGGGGGGGGGGAACTGATTCCGATCAATACTTGGAAGATCTCCGGTCACATCTTTGTTGTCACGATGCAACAATCTGATTGAAATGCAATCAATTTCAAGGCCAAAGCGTATCGGTGGTAATGATTGATGCAACACCGTTGACCATTTTCGACCCTTTGGATCAGTTCAGCCAATCGGAGTGATGGCTGCCGATCGGAGTGATGGCTGCCGATCGACGCGACACCGTTGACCGTTTTCGACCCTTTGGATCAGTTCAGCCGATCGGAGTGATGGCTGCCGATCAACGCGACAGTGTTGACCATTTTGGACCCTTTGGATCAGTTCAGCCGATCAGAGTGATGGCTGCCGATCGACACGACACCGTTGACCACTTGGAAGATCGCAGGTCACATCTTTGTTGTCACG